AGCAAGGTAGGCAAACGATCTTTCAGCTAATTTTTTTTTTACCTCCCTTTCTGGGACTCTTAAAAGATACTGATCGACCGATCGTAGTGATCTAGAGTTTGGAGCATAAATTTGGATAAGACCTCTGATATATGAGGGAGCTTTATTATTGGCACATTTATGATATAATATTGAAATTTTATATGCTATTCTAGCTGACAAAGGGAGCCAATGCAACGTTCTTAACATGGAAGTAATGTGATTCCTCTTCTTTTTTCTGTAGTACTAGCCTTGCAGCTTGATTTTGAAAATGTAACTTGTGAAGAGTGGTATTTGGTATGTTAGTTAATAAAGAACTGCAATGATCGAAGCGTGAAAACAAAGATGACACGAGCGTTTTCAATGAGCCTTCATTCAAAAACAGATTTATGACAAAAGATAAAGTTTTAAGTGATCAACAACGAGGGGTTGGAGCTAAGTCAAGACATGAGTCCTGAGGGTTAACAACGTGGGGTCGAACCAAAGGTAAAGTTCTAAATAATCAACAATAAGGGGGTGGAGCTATGTTAATAATTCCTACTAAAGGGTCACCAAGAGGGGTTGGAGCTAAGTCAAGGAAAGTGGGGTCAAAGTAAAGTTCTAACAGGTTAACAAGAAGGGATCAGAATAAAGTTCCAAAACTTTTACAAAGAGCGGCTGGAGTAAATCTCCAACAAAAACATGAAGACCTGAATATACACATTGGCTGTTGAACTATTTTTCTTACAGTAAACAAGCTTTTCGTTGTGTTTTAAAAAATATTTTGTAGCGCTCTAAAGGCTTTCAATTTTGTTGCATCAGTGGACTTCAAACTTTTCACAACTCCAAACTTCAAGTTAAGAAAATACTGGTGGTATCAGAACGTCTACCACAGAAGGTCAAAGGCCAAACTAACAGCTTGCAGCGCTTGTTTATTTGTTTTTTATCAAGTCATGATTGATTGAGTAGGTGTTTTACGGCACTATCGACCCAATTTGATCAAGTCAGTTAACATTAACAGCACCAACAAAGTGCAAGAAATATTACAGAATAAAAAATCCACTCCAACAACCTCACACTCAAACTCAAAATCAGCAGGAAGCTCTACCCACACCATTCTACCCCTGCAACCACCACCACACCCCCCCCCCCCAAAAAAAAAAAAAACTACACTGCCCCCTCAACTACCTCCCGCCATGGCCATGGCAATATCTACAAAATTCTACTCTGAACCTAGCCTATCCACCTAACTCCCTATCAACCTATCTGCCTATCTCTTCAGCCCCACTGCGTCATTTTAAGCCTGAGTGTGATATACGGAAATCGTAGCAATAGAGCACTGTGAGACCTGTTTGACCAGAAAAGTGGCTAGACCTTCTGTTGTCACCAAAGTTTGCATTGAAAGTAAGGAACAAAACCTCTTATGATTCTATATCAGTGACAATGTTTCTAAGTAGCTTCATTACAAAATCTCCATCTGGACATCATACAAGGAACATTGTTTTCTTGGGTCTTTGCTGGTTTTTACAGCACTATCAACACAATTTATTGTACGATGAGCTGGCCTCCGCAAATCAAGTGCAAGGGCACCCCCATCTTCGCTTCAAAGATGTGTGCAAGCGAGATATGATATCACTTTGGGAGACACTGGGAGCTGGTCTCACCAGAGGTGAAGCCCGACTGCGACAGGCAGCTGAAGACAAACGCCATCCCCGAAAGAACAGCCAGAGGCTACCAACGCAGGAAGACACCATTCACAAGTGCAGCCATGGCTACAAGGACTGCCATTCTGTGTGGACCTGTTCAGCCACAGCAAGCGCTGCTCTCGAACCTGAAATCTACGGCGCAGATCCATAGTATCCTGAGACTGAAGGATGCCATGCCATAAACACAATTTCACATGAGAGAAATAAAACAGCCAACTGTTAAAGTAGTCCATGGTAGTCATCTGGAGGAATTGACATGTCCATTCAAGAGTAGCTGCATATTGAAGGATTCTTGATGCCTGGCAATTGTCTGTTAGTTCTTGAATGACTAATTGAAGAAAACATTTTTCACAGTGCTATTGGCACAATTTGATCATGTTAGCACAGCACTCATTTGGCTGGATGTCCTGTGCAGCGCGGGGATGTTACCATCCAGGGTGAGTGGAAGGTCATTCCTGTCAGGGCATGGTATCTGCTTCTTTGGTAGCTGTTAACTGTTGGCTTGACATCTTTCTAAGAAAAATATATACGGTAGCTTGAATTACTAAATTTGAATAAAGACAATGTACATAGCTGCAATAATGGTCACTTAGCGCACACATGAGAAATAAAGTTACGGAGAAAAAGAAAAAAAAGGAATGACCCTACAAAGGCATTCTCCTTCCAACAGCTATAAGAAATAGTGGTAGTTTTTGATGGTGTATATTTTAACGAGGCATTTTTTTCATTTAAGTGCCAACTACAGATTTTCCTAAAATCTGCCTTTCATAGCACTTATTAAAAGGACGGGCAGACAATTTTAAAAATCTGTCAGCACATATGTTTAAAAACTTTTCCTTTATATATTTTTTCTTAAGAACTTGCATCTGTAAAATTTGTAAATTTTTCAAAGTAGAAAAAGGGTCGCTATAAAATTGTTTACTACCGGTTTAAAAAGACAGACATTTATAAAAATCTGTCAGTATATGTTTTATCATTTACCATTTCCACCTAAATGCCAAATTAAAACTTTTAACTTTAAATTAGAAAAACCAATTGGTATTTTTCTAATTTTACTTCAATAATAAATAAACAAGTAGTGTTCCAAGACATATTTCCTAAACAAATACCTCCTGTAGATGCTCCTGTCTGTGGGTGCTCCTCCGGCTGGTCCTCCTGTCCGCGGCTGGTCCTGGTGATGAAGACGTGTCAATTCATACAATCGTCTTACATCTAAGGGCTACAGTTTTGTATTTTTGATTCAGAAAATAAAAAGACTCGTTATAATATTATTTACTACCAGTTTAAAAGGACATAAGGACATTGATAAAAACCTGTCAGTAAATACATTCTATTATGTTCTCTTTTCACATAAATGCCAATAAAAAAACCCAACAAACTTTCACCACGAAATTAAAAAAACCCACGAAATTTATTTTTCTAATTTTACTTTAACAATTAACAAATAATTTTCCAAGACATATTTCCTAAATAAATACCTCCTGTAGATACTCCTATCTGTGGATGCTCCTCCGGCTGGTCCTCCTGTCCCCGGCTGGTCCTGGTGATGAAGACGTGTCAATACAATCGTATTGCAACTATACAGTTTGTATTTTTGCTTGAGAAAATAAAAACAGTCGCTATATTTTCTACTATCGGGTTTAAAGGCCATAATAACAGTTATAAAAACCTGTCAGTATACCGGCATGCGTTTTATTATATTACCTTTTCACATAAATTTTTTTTTTAACTTTCACTTTGAAATTGAAAAAAAGCTCCACCAGCAATTTTTCTAATTTTTACTTCAACAATTAATAAATAATGTTCCAAGACATTTTCCAGACAAATACCTCCTGTAGATGCTCCTGTCTGTGGGTGCTCCTCCGGCTGGTCCTCCTGTCCCCGGCTGGTCCTCCTGTCTGCGGATGGTCCTCCTGTCTGCGGCTGGTCCTGGTGATAACGACGAGTCAATTAATACAATCGTCTTACGTCTATACAGTTTAGATTTTTGTTTCAAAATATAAAAATAGTGGTTATAATATTATTTACCACCAGTTTAAAAGGACAGAAGGTCATTAATAAACATTTTTCAGTAATTACATTTTATCATTCTCCCTTTTCACCTAAATACAGCTATAAAACTTTTATCTTTAACAAAAAAAACTCTGTAATTATGTATGATCAAATAATGTTCCAAGACATAGTTCACCCCCCCCCCTTCCACCCCCAGGGCGGTGCTACTGACTGAGGTGTCTTCAGGCCATTCCCAAAGGGGGGACATAAACCATGTTCTTATGAATAGAAGAATTGTAATTGTAAATCAGCTGATTCATCAATGTCATGCTCATAACTGTGCCTGGACTGCAAGAGGGAACTGCTGCTTTTTCCTCTAGTTCTTTTGTATGTTTGTCAAACTCTTGTGACCCACTATTTCAGAGGTTCCTTGATAAAGCAGACTTTGTGCTGTTGAAGCTAAAGAGGTGGGCAGAGAAAGTCTGATTCCCTGTAAGGACTTCTCTGTTAACATCCACCTCTTGGCGTTCATATGACCCTATGTAGTTGCGAGCACCATAAAACCTCTACTGAAACAAAACAAACAAGAAAGATATATTTCCCTGACAAATACCTCCTTTAGATGTCCTGTCTGCGGGTGCTCCTCTTGGTGGTCCAGGTGGTCCTTACGGAACAATCCAGTATACACGCCACTCCAACATCCTCACACTCAAACTCAAAATCAGCAGGAAGCTCTACCCACACCATTCTACCCCTGCAACCTTCCACACCCCTTCCCCCCCAAAAAAAAATGAAAAACCTGCACTGCCCCCTCAACTACCTCCCACCATGGCCATGGCAATATCTACAAAATCCTACTCTGAACCTAGCCTATCCACCTAGCTCCCTATCAACCTATCTGCCTATCTCTACAGTCCCCACTGCATCACTTTAAGCCTGAGTGTGAGATACGGAAATCGTGTTGTCTGTGGGTGGTCATCCGGCAGCTGGTCCTGGTGATGAAGACATGTAAATAAACACAATCTTCTTACATCTATACAGTTTGTACATTGTTTTAAGAAAATAAAAAGAGTAGTTATAATATTGTTTTTTACCAATTTAAACGGACAAAAGGACATTTATAAAAGTCTGTCAGAAAATACATTTCATAATTTTCCTTTTTTATCAACATGCAAAAAATAAAACTTGCCTTTAAATCATAAAAACCAATAGGTACTTTCCTAATTTCACTTTAATAGTGAATTAACAAATAGAGTTCCAAGACATATTTCCCAGACAAATACCTCCTGTAGATGCTCCTGTCTGTGGGTGCTCATCCGGCTGATCCTCCTGTCCGCGGCTGGTCCTGGTGATGAAGACGTGTCAATTCATACAATCGTCTTACATCTAAGGGCTACAGTTTTGTATTTTTGATTCAGAAAATAAAAAGACTCGTTATAATATTATTTACTACCAGTTTAAAAGGACATAAGGACATTGATAAAAACCTGTCAGTAAATACATTTTATTATGTTCTCTTTTCACATAAATGCCAATAAAAAAAAAAACAAACTTTCACCACGAAATTAAAAAAAACCCACGAAATTTATTTTTCTAATTTTACTTTAACAATTAACAAATAATTTTCCAAGACATATTTCCTAAATAAATACCTCCTGTAGATACTCCTATCTGTGGATGCTCTTCCGGCTGGTCCTCCTGTCCCCGGCTGGTCCTGGTGTTGAAGACGTGTCAATACAATCGTATTGCAACTATACAGTTTGTATTTTTGCTTGAGAAAATAAAAACAGTCGCTATATTTTCTACTATCGGGTTTAAAGGCCATAATAACAGTTATAAAAACCTGTCAGTATACCGGCATGCGTTTTATTATATTACCTTTTCACATAAATATATATTTTTTAACTTTCACTTTGAAATTGAAAAAAAGCTCCACCAGCAATTTTTCTAATTTTTACTTCAACAATTAATAAATAATGTTCCAAGACATATTTTCCAGACAAATACCTCCTGTAGATGCTCCTGTCTGTGGGTGCTCCTCCGGCTGGTCCTCCTGTCTGCCGCTGGTCCTGGTGATGAAGACGAGTCAATTAATACAATCGTCTTACGTCTATACAGTTTAGATTTTTGTTTTAAAATATAAAAAGAGTGGTTATAATGTTTACCACCAGTTTAAAAGGACAGAAGGTCATTAATAAACATTTTTCCGTAATCGCATTTTATCATTCTCCCTTTTCACCTAAATACAGCTATAAAACTTTTACCTTTGACAAAAAAAACCTGTAATTATGTATGATCAAATAATGTTCCAAGACATAGTTCACCCCCCCCCCCTCCCCCCAGGGCGGTGCTACTGACTGAAGTGTCTTTAAGCCATTCCCAAAGGGGGGACATAAACCATGTTCTTATGAATAGTAGAATTGTAATTGTAAATCAGCTGATTCATCAATGTCATGCTCATAACTGCCTGGACTGCAAGAGGGAACTGCTGCTTTTTCCAAATCCATACTATCGTCATTTCCTCTAGTTCTTTTGTATGTTTGTCAAACTCTTGTGACCCACTGTTTCAGGGGTTCCTTGATAAAGCAGACTTTGTGCTGTTGAAGCTAAAGAGGTGGGCAGAGAAAGTCTGATTCCCTGTAAGGACTTCTCTGTTGACATCCACCTCTTGGCGCTCATATGACCTTATGCAGTTGCGAGCACCATAAAACCTCGACTGAAACAAAACAAACAAGAAAGACATATTTCCCTGACAAATACCTCCTGTAGATGTCCTGTCTGCGGGTGCTCCTCTTGGTGGTCCAGGTGGTCCTTACGGAACAATCCAGTATACACGCCACTCCAACATCCTCACACTCAAACTCAAAATCAGCAGGAAGCTCTACCCACACCATTCTACCCCTGCAACCCTCCACACCCCTTCCCCCCCCAAAAAAAAAAGAAAAACCTGCACTGCCCCCTCAACTACCTCCCACCATGGCCATGGCAATACCTACAAAATCCTACTCTGAACCTAGCCTATCCACCTAGCTCCCTATCAACCTATCTGCCTATCTCTACAGTCCCCACTGCATCACTTTAAGCCTGAGTGTGGGATACGGAAATCGTGTTGTCTGTGGGTGGTCATCCGGCGGCTGGTCCTGGTGATGAAGACGTGTAAATAAACACAATCTTCTTACATCTATACAGTTTGTACATTGTTTTAAGAAAATAAAAAGAGTAGCTATAATATTGTTTTTTACCAATTTAAACGGACAAAATGACATTTATAAAAATCTGTCAGAAAAAAACATTTAATCATTTTCCTTTTTTATCAACATGCAAAAAATAAAACTTACCTTTAAATCATAAAAACCAATAGGTACTTTCCTAATTTCACTTTAATAGTGAATTAACAAATAGAGTTCCAAGACATATTTCCCAGACAAATACCTCCTGTAGATGCTCCTGTCTGTGAGTGCTCCTCCGGCTGGTCCTGTCCGCGGCTGGTCCTGGTGATGAAGACGTGTCAATTCATACAATCCTCTTGCATCTATACATACAGTTTGTATTCTTTTTGTGAAAAAATAAATTGCAGATAAAATATTTTTGCTACCGGTTTAAAAAGCAAAGACATTTTTAAAAATTTGTCCCAAAAATATGTTTCATCTTTTTCCTTTTTTCACCTAAACATTTTTTTAAAATGTTTACCTTGTGCTTGTAATCAGAAAAACCAATAGGTATTTTTCTAATTTTACTTTAATAGTAAATTACCAAATACAGTCGAAACTGCCCTGACGGCCACCTCTATAAGACGGCCACCTCTATAAGACGGCCACCTCTATAAGACGGCCACCTGTAAAACGGCCACTTTCCATTCCCCCCCCCCCTCTTGCGTTTTTTTCTATATAATTTAACTGTGTAAAATGGGCCGCGGCCACCATATTTTAACACACAACCCCTATCACACCAA